GCTTTTGGGTATATTCTTCATGCAGTGGTGTAGGATTCGTTATCACACCACTTTGCAAGTAGTCTTTGCAAGTACCCTCTTGTTTCTTTACTTTTTTATAATTTAATCCTACTACTTTTCCATTTTTAATGTTTTTTATTTACTTGTTATAATTAATTTACTGTTATCCAGCAAAAATGTTGAAATAAAACTACCAAAATTACAGTTTTGTTTTGGTTAACTAAAACTAAAACTAAAAGTACTTTTGGTAAGCCATTTTAATTTTGATTAACTAAAACTATAAATATAACTAAAACTTTTTGACCTAGCATAACTAAAACTAAAACTAAAAGTATTACACTTACTAAAACTAAAACTATACTAAAATATTTAGCTTTACTATTTAGTTTTCGTACACATGTGTCATTTACATTTGTACATAGTTGTATTTCATATGGTTAGTGCCAAATGGACCAAGGAACAGAGAGAAAGAGAAGTTTTCTGACACATATTAAGTAATATGTACAAATAATCTACCATAACTAAATATTAAAACTAATACTAATACTATTTGACTATTACTATTGGTTACTAAAATACTAATATTTTTTGAATTATACTAATACTATTTGACTATTACTATTGGTTACTAAAATACTAATATTTTTTGAATTTTAACAAAACTAAAACTAAAAGTATTTCATTTTGAAAACTAAAACTAATACTAATACTAAAATTATTATGCCTACCAAAACAACACTACAAAAAGAAAATTAATGTTTCAACTAGCAGTAGTAGATCTACACCTTACAGGTAAATATCCTCATTGACCACAACTAGAAAGGTCTATTAAAAATATTAGAAATAAAGTGGATTAAACATACTTTTTAAGTTCCAGAACTTTAGCTCGAAGGATTGGGAAAAAATCAATAGATTCATCTTTTACCTACCATTTTTGGTCATTTGAAAAGTTTGGTTTAAAGCAACTAATTCTCACCTGTTGCAAAACATACTTCTCAAGGGCATTATGGTCATTATGATGAAGGGATTGCAAGTACAAAATAAAATGAATATATTTCCAAATGTTATGGTCATCATCCAAATGCTTTTGGAAAGCCTATTTGTACGGCAAATAATTATTTTCTGAAAAAATTGAGACTTACTTTTCCGCCACATTGTTCATCAAACTTATATTTTTCATTGCTACAAATGAAGCATCTATTTTCGTTATCCTCATTCACTTTATCCTACAATAATTATTAACATCAAATAGCAGTGACATCAAATAGTAATACTTAAACCTTTTTTTGTCTCATCTCTGAGAACCTGTCAATCAGTATCACAATGACCAGATTTAATCCCAATATAGTAACCACAATAAAGAAAACTAGATCATAAATGACACGTCCACCAACAAGACTAAAATTTGGCTGATATTCCTCAGAAGGTCTCACGTCCAGTGCCTATATAAGTAAATGCACAATATACACTTTCACATTAAAAGAATAACATACAGAGCCCAAAGTATTCAGTAGTCCTACGCGTAAGATTGTGACAAAACACTGGAATACATTATTACAGAATTCATCCTTTTCTTCAGAAAAATAATTTGAAATTAGTGCAAAACTGGCAACAGCATAAATATAGATGAAAACAATGCCCAAGGCAAAGATAATCAACAGTTGGAATGCTAATGAATATAGTGAAATTCAGTAGAAGGATTTTATGTCTTACCACTCTTTTTTAGAGCTTGAATGATGTGAAGAATGACACTATTTCCAAGGAATGGATAAATCATGCACCCACAAAGAAAATATCCTTTCCATATTCCCAGAATCGAAAATATTAAAAACAATATGCGATACATTGGTTGGAAGCTCAGAGCAAAAATTTGATAATATTCAGCTGGTTCTGGTCTACCAAAATATATTTTTCCACAAGAAACCTTATTCAGAAAATTATATAAAAGCTTTCTACGCTTTACTCCTTTCTTATACTTGTACCTGTAAAAATAAACAATCAATGTTACTCTTGTATACCAACTTACATAATTTTTTTGAACCAAAATATCCTGAAATGAATCCTGTGCTTATTTTTATAGAAGTAGCATATCACCATAAAAATTGCTAGTACAAGATGTAAAGCACTGAGGATGTAGTGAACTGGATAATACCACTCAGGTGCTTCAGGGTCAAATATTGGCTGGAAGTAAATTGAACTAGTGTTGTCACATGTTTCGTTATTTGCTTCAATGTTTTTACAAACTCCATTAATGTGCACATCGTCACTGCAATATAAAACCATTAACAAAATAGTTTTTATATATGCTCTTACTTGGATGGAGACTTTAGGAAAAAAACAAAAATATTTAGAAGTATAGTTAGCAGGAAAAGACAGATGTTTCTTATTGTACTGGAAAACAGCATCATATTAATTTCTGTGCATAGATTAGTAACTTACGAAGTTTGCAAAATCCAGTAAAATAGTTTCAGTTTTCCTTTTTCATTAGTCTTTTTCTAATGTAAATGGAAACATTTTCACTATAAGTATAGTCAAGAGTGGTATAGTATATTCAAACCTTTTGATCATTGCTCAATTTCAATTCTTTTGTCCATTTAAGTAGATCAATCAATTTTTCTTGAGGTGTTCTTCTTTTAATGTGTAGTAATAAAATTTCTTTTTCTTTTGCACTAAAATCTGCCTGGAATATATCATTAAATGAATTTGAAAATTGAATGCTGTCTACTTACATGTGGATCACATGGAAAGTAAGCCCGAGTAAGTAATTTCTTCTGATTTTGCATTTGATAAATTATTTCAACCCTACTGGACCAGTTTGTACAACTTTTCCACATTTTCTCTGCTTCAGTGGTATTATTGTCTTTAAAAACTTCTTTGAAATATTTTTTCCTAACTATAGAATTTTTTGTAAATTTAATGTCTAGCATATGATTACCTAGTGTATCAACACTTATTTCCTTAAAATCAGCAATTCTTCTAAGAATGCTGTAACCTCTGCATAAGTCTTTATTAAATTGCTCATTAGATAATCTAGATCTAATTAAGGCAGACTCCCAAAAATTAAACATTCTTTGTAATAAGGTTGAAATCTCAAAATGTTTTGCTATACAACTGGCCAGAGATAAAGAATTTTCATCAATTTCCTCTAGCAATATTTCCAGCAATTCCATACTAGAACACTGTAGCTCATATAATTTCCTATATTTGGCTTAAATTATGTAGATACATTAAGTTTAAGTTACCAATTAACTTCATTGACAGCTGATGAGTCTTTTCCCAATATGCCATTAATAGAAATGACAACTTGAGCTTTAAAAACAACTATTTGATTTTTGTAATTGCCAGCACACATTTCAATCAATGCATGAGTAGCACTTTGTGCTACTACAATAGCATCTTCATTTTTTTCAAAATTCACAGAGTTGATAATGTAAAGGAGCACAAAAGAAACTTGATTAATTATGCTTGACTCCTGTTGTAAAGTATTAAGAAAATAGTATAATAAATAAACTTGCATCAAAGATTTGTTCATCTCTCATTGCATCCTGTATATCTTTTTGCTGCCCATCACAAAGACTAGCAATGACATCTAATACTATTGCCACTCTGGAATCTATTATCTAAAAATTACATAAGCATAAGTTTTTGTTTTGTAACAATAATATTAACTAACTGGCTGGTTTTTTGATGACTTTGCTTTTTGTACAATAGATGCTCTGTACAATGCACATTGAGATCTATATTGAAATTAATAAATTTTTTTACTTACTTGGTATAAAATTTTCTTAAAATTTGATGCACAATCATAATGAGACTTCGATCCTTTTGAGTAAATGAAATTATTATTTGCTGAGCTTCTTCATTTCCAAAATATAGTAAGACATTAAGACATGCTATCACTTGAAAAGTAATATCAACATTTGGATGATGTAGTAGATCAAAGAGCTATTTAATTTGAAATTTGACTTTATTACCTAATGCAATTTACCATTGGTACTATTCCTTGATCCAGTAATATTTTTTGAAGAGGAGCAACAAAATCTTTGGGTTGCCTATAAAGCTCATAATTATGCTAATACAAATAACATCTATTATTATACTTTTCTTGATGTTTTGAAGACTTCACTTCTTTTATTCCTGAGTAAACAATTCCACAAATTAGTTTAAGTGTTGTCAAAGTCATGTTTTCTAAGTCAATTTTTCGAAGACCCAAAGGTTTCTGCTTTTGAATAAGAGTTCTATTGGATGTTATTAAGTTATAAATTAAAATTAAGTATACTGTAGCAATAAAAGGAGTTTGGTTGCTTTTAAGGATTTCACTTTCAAATCTTTTGTCTGTATCTCATGTGCAGAAGACTTCTTTGTGGCCTTCCTGATGTTTAACAAATTAAATATTGTACAATTATTTTTACTTCAGATGATTTTCACTGTCTTTAAATTTATCAATAAGTTTTTGAAAAACTGGATCACTAGGAATGAGTAAACGTCTTTGCATGTCCTCTAGGTCTAGATCTATTAATAATGAACTTAAAATATTTCACAATTGACTTACCACAACCACCAAATCCACTGCTCTGCATGGGTGAGTTCCTTGTAACTGACTTGTTTGTATAAGTATTATAACATTTCTCAACAAACGTTTGAAAACTATCACTGTGACTACTGGTTTGTGAATCATTCACATCAGTTTGATGATCGTGTATCTAATAATAAATTTCTTGATAGATCTACAATAATTACAGCATTGTCTCACAGGTTCAGGACAGATAATAGATCTACTATTCTCCAAGGCTATTATTTTCTCAGTGACAAAGGGTAAGTTAAAATCAGCAAATTTCTAAAATCAATAATACAGAAATTTTGAATTGAGGACAATCATGTACATATACCTTTAATTCCTGTACTAGTTCTTCTGCCTCAGTAAATCTATCACTGCATGATTTAGATCTACCAGATGAATAAAATGCTATTAGCAATGGAATTAACCCTTCAAATATATATAAAAAGTTTTTATCAATCTTAGTTGCTAAGTTGTCAGTATGCATCAACAGAGTGATACTCCAATAAAAATTGTTCCTCTTCCTTAAGTTTTGTTCAGCAGTTATTTTATCAGAATTCTTCCATAACTTATAAGTTTCACTAACAATCTCTTTATTAAATTTCCAGAACTGGCTGTATTTATTGTTTGAAATGGTAAATAATAATTATGCAAACAGGATGCATACATACCGGTTTTCAGCTAATGCAGTAGCACAAGCTTCACCAGAATCTCTTTCAGTAGCTAAGTATGTTGAATTTAAAAGACGAATAAATGGCAATTTGCGATGAATAGCAATTTTTTGATTGAACAAAATACTGCAAAAATATAAAAATAATAAAATTAATTTGGAACTTACTTAAGAAGATCATCTAAAGTGTAAAACTGGCAACAGACTGATTCTGCATAGTGACAATGTCCAGTAGTACAAGAAGCTATGAGATCTGTTATATTCAATAAGAGGTAAAGGTTGGGATCATTGTCATTGTCATTCTGTTATAAAATATCAGTTTATAAGCTATTAATGCATGATTGAAGTTACTTTTTTAAGAAGCTCTATTTTGTTAATATACAATGGGTTTTCCTTATCTAAAAGGTGCCCTAACACATCAGTTGAATAATCATATATGAGTTTTGATATATACTCCTGCATTGGAGTTGCTGGATTAATGGTCTAGAAAGATACAAAATTGTAATCATGTAACAGGTATAAAAAATATTGTGCCAACTTACATCAATTATAACTCTTAGAGTAACTGTTAACTCATAATGCACAGCACTGCTCCTAGCAATTGCACAAATAAATATATTGCTGATATCTGAATCAGTTAAGTTAATGCAAAGATCAATATTATAGAAAAACCTATAAAATCAAAGTCAGGATTAATTTATAGATTTCACTGGATTTGTACCTCATTAAGTAGACGTATAATAGGTTGCACAGCTGTTTTAAATTCAAGAAAATCATAAAAGCTGACAAACAATTTATTTTGAGCCTGCATGTCAAATGAAGATGCTATTAACTATAGTAGTATACTGCCTATAACATACTCTCTTGTTTTTCCTTGCTACTCTTTGAAGGAAAGTAAAACAACTGCTGAGAATTATTTCATGATCTTGACAGTCACTGAATCTTTGTCCAAGGACATACTCAAGAATAACATCAAATAAACCTATAAAATGTCATTAATTACAAATCAATAGCATGCCTCACCACAGCTGTATGCTACAGCTTGCATAGTCATATTAGGCTCAGTTTCACTCTCATCTAATATGCATAACTTTGAAAAATTATCTAGTTTCATTGCTATGTTCTTTTTGTCTTCATCCGTAATGTGTTGTCTCTGTGTCAATTTGGTAATAAGTTTAACTGTATCAGTCATTGTAGCTACTATTTCCCTTTCATGACCATTCACAGACTCTTCTGGTGAATACACATAGACATCTTCTTTAGCACGTAATAATATATGGTTTTCAATGTTGAATATATTGAAAAGAAGTTCAGCACTCATCACAGATACATCAAAATCACTGTTATCAACCAAACTAATTAGGCACTTGCACAAATCCTGGCACTTTGTATTATTTTCTGTGTTAGTATCAAAAATTGGAAAAATATCCGGTTTAAAATTTTCCCGTAATTGTCGTTGTACAGAACTATATGAAAGATTTTAATATTATGAAAACTTCATATTAATTACTTTTGTGTAATTTTTGCATCATAAGATGCATCTTGAGGACTTTGAACTACAACTTTGGTGAAATCTTCATCAGGTTCATGTTTCATACGAGTATAATGAATGGTTTCTTTTGTCAAAGAATGATCTTGCTGGATAAAGATTGTGGAATTATTGCTAAAGTCACTGAGAAGAGCCTGTAATGACTTTTAACACTTGCGTTGACAAAATAATAGCTTTACTTTCACAGATAGATGTATGCGTTGTTTTAGAAGTAGCTGCAATGATAGTAGAGCCCTTTTGCAATAAAGTTTAGTAATACACACAAAATTTATAAAGAACTTACAGTGATATAATCTTTAATATCATTTCTTTCATTACACCACTAGCAAGCTCTACACAATCACAGATATTTACAACCAATCGAATAAAAATTAATTATCCTTACCACTTAATTTTAATTTCTCAAGTAAAATACTAGTGATTTGTTTTATTTCATCATCTTTGGAATAAAAACCATGATCTATCAAAAATACCAGAATGCTAAGAGTCAGTGCAGTGACAGTCTGGCTCTATTATATATATTCAATGATTTTAAATGAACAAAAATACATTATTACCTCAGTTCTTAACAATATAGTATAAATTTTGCTTTTCATAGTAATGAGAAGGCTGCCAAATTTGAAACCCTCTGAAAATGAGGAAGACCAAAACTCTAAATTAATATCAATTTCATTACAACAGGATTACATATAGTTACCACTACAACCAATTTCATCCTGTAAAAAAGCACATGAGAGTCTGCTACAAGCAACACCTCCAGTTTCTAAAGCATCACTAGATAAACAAAAGCTATTCAGAACTTCTTTTGCATCAGGGTCCACCTAAATACTAAATTAAATTTTGAATTATTAAACAAGAGTTTACTATTTCACTTTCAAGAGCTTTACAAACTTCATCTAAAAATATAAAACATTTGAACAAACTAGTCTTGATCTGGATCTACTTCCAAACCTAGAATTTTCCTGTTGATACTTTTTCCATTAAAAGCTAAAATTGACATTAGACCAGCAATTTCAGTATCCTATTTCATAATTATAATTTCTTATGCTTACAGACTTTTACATGATTATTACTTTCACATTTAATTTCCTAACTGGAATCAATTCACCAATTATTCTAAGCATAACATAAGTCAGCTGCATAGTGACATGTGTGTGATGCTTACCTGCAATCTTTAAAATGCAAACTAATAATGAGTTTTTGTATTTCAGCACCAAATCTTTTGTCAACCTGTGAATTTAATTAGACTAAACATTAATAATGAAGTACAAACCATTTCCTCCAGAATTCTAAATTTTGCGTTGTCAGTCAAGTAGTAAATAGATTTTAAAGTTCCATTCTCAACATACAATTGTAAAGATTTACAAATACAAATGCAGGCTTCATGTGATATCCTAAAATGAATATTAATAATTATAATGATATAGAAAGCATGGCATACTCATCATCTAAAACAGCTAGCTTTCTTAAAAGAATTATAATTATATCAACTGTCTAGAAAATCAAAATTATTTTACATGGTATCACATTATATGTATAACTCATTCATTTACTTTTACAGTTCTTAACATGTTTGCAAGTCTTGTTTTATCCTCAGTTAATGTAAACGATTCCTGTAATCCTTTAATTAAACAAATAACACGTTGAGGATTTGACTACAATTTTAACATAATTATTTTGCATGCACACATATAACACAAACCACTTGATTGCACTCATGTAACGCTGAGGTAATGCTCTTGATGTGAATGATGTCTATTACAGCATTTTTTTCAACCTAACAACACAGTATCAAATTAATTAACACTTGTGTCCAGTATACGCTCATTCTAACCTTTAATACTTTAAAGCAGCTCATTTTAGAATAATTTTCAAGAGCAAGCTGAAAGAATTAAAGCAATCATAAACATCAGCATAATATAACATACATCAAGCCTTTCATCATTGGATGTGTCCTTTGAACTTTGTTTCACTACACACCATACAATAAAAAATAAATTAAAATTCAAAAGCATACCATTAACAGATAAATGTTTAATGTCATCTTGTTGTGTTGTACTCCTAGCAGCAAGTAAAATGATGTCATGGCTAAAAACTTCCTATAATCAAGTTAAAAATTTGCACACAATTTAATTCTAAACCTTTCTTTGCATGGAGTGGTCAATTGCTTTTATCTGAAAAACCTCTACAGTCTAAACAAGTATGCATAGTGTAAAAACAAACTTTCTTTGTAAACATAACCTCTAGTATTGGCTCTTGTGTCAAAAAAATTTTTATTTTGCACTCATCTCCATACATTAATGGCTCTAACGAGCAAAGATATGACAGCAGCATGTGATACTTTTATTGAAGTTTTATACCAGATTCATTTGATCCTTTAAGCTCAAGGAAAGTGTCACCAGAAAAAGGTAAGTTGTTAAAAAAACTTTTTTGCCATCTACGTAAGCCATTAGCAGAAACATAGCCATCAATTTTCTGGCTGGCTAGCATCACTATATTTTCTGCCTGTATAATTATTATTATGATAAATTAAATAGACATAAGTTATTATAACCGTTATGCTTAATGGATTTAACTTCATGTGATTTTGACAGTGTGATGAAATGGAAAGCACAGTGCCATTCTCAAAGGACCTAATAAAACATAAAGTAGTTAAAATATATTATAAATTGTAGCTTACAAAAAAGTTTTTTCTTTATAAGAAAATTGATATTTCTGAGTCTGTGACACAACTTCTAATTTAATGAGCTCACCATGCTTAATCTTCCAATTGATGCATATAAAGATTATGAATATCTAATTTTAAAATTTTACTTGTTTGCCCCACTTTCTTTGATGATGTCCTGGAGGAATGATCCTAAACAAATACTCATATTTTTTATTGGATTCATTTGCTTTATTAGATAGACTAGTCAGGCAAATTTGTTCCTAAATTGAAGGGTGAAATTTATGTGTAAACTTCTAATAAATTATTGACCTTTATAAGATTAGTGTCCTCATCTCTTTCCCATTTAACTGATAAATACTTTCCAGATGCTTGGTGCTGTAACTGTAGAATTTTAATTGCATTAAAGCATTAACATTTCTAACTTTAATTGTGCAGCCATAAACAATTTTCATTAGCTCGGAAGATAATTCATCAGCACAAGTGTCATCATCTAATTGATCATATTCATCACTTGATTCACTTCCATGAGTAATGCAAAACATAGCCACTACATAATAAAATAAAGCCAATACATTTGATGTACCTAAGCATGATAGCTACTACATATTTATGATGATTACGCATGCATGGAGTATTTTCACTCACTTAAGTTACATTCCAAGATATCATCCTTTGATGAAGAAATGTATAAATCATCAGGCTGCTTAGATCTGCTATGACTATTGGTAAATTTTTATATAATTTACATACTAGTATTCAAAAGACAAATGTGATTAAAGCATGATGTGCTGCTAATTTAGGAACTGGCTCTATCCGGCATCGGCATAACATCAATGCGTCGACAATAAATTATTTTATATAGATCTAAATAACTAAATTTACCTTATAGGTTTGCTGTAAAGTACATAACCCGATTCGTTCTGGTAGCATAAGGACACAATGTCACCATTATAAATGTAGATTTCCTTTTTCGAGGACATTGTGAAAGCCGAGGTAATTTAGAAGCATGTTAGAAGACAACGCCCTAGCTAAAATTGCGACGCACTAAAATTAATGATGTCATCCGGCTTAGATCTACGTCACGTATCATCATAGTATAATCTATGACGTCATGAAGACACGCCTCCTGCAAACATGGCGACTAGAAGATCCAAGCGATTGCAAACTCGGTTCAAAGAGAAATTAGAGAATGAAAATGTAAAGAAGGTTAAATGGCTAAGAGAAAAAAGAAAAACATTTAAACAAGAATCAGGTAACTGCAATGTACTGCATCAAGCTTATAGGAAGAAACTTTGGGTGGAATACTTGTAAATTTAGGTTGTCCATGCTTTGTTACACTTTTAGATTCACCAAGTGAAGCTGAAGAAATTAACGGTGATACCTCAGCATCATCCGGTGTGTCAGAGGAACATGTAACTCCTTTCAAGCAACTAAAAGCAAAAAACAACTTCACTAAAGTGTAAGGAATTTTATTTTATTATTTTATTCGTTGTAATAAGCACAAGTGCCTCAGGGTCCCATGAAACTAAGTGAGCTAAAAAGCATGCTCCATTAACTTTGAAATTGATCTTAATTTCAATTGGAATCAGCTCAAACTTCTACCGTTCTACGCAACATGCATCTAAGTGTATAGTTATCAGAAAAAAATTTAAAGTGAACGATTCTCTCCTTTTAATTTTGGCGAAATTTGGCACGAGGCCATGTACCAGAGTACAGGGACTTTGACCAAATTTCTGAGCAACTTTTAAAAATTTATAACAAATTTGATTTTGATCAAAATCGGCTCAAAACAGCATAAGCACATATATATGCATTGGCTGAACACTATATGGTAAATTCAGTGGGACAAGGGTATGGCAAGGAGTTAATAAAAATTGCAGGAGTGTTATTCCACTTGTCTGTTTTGCTTTCTACATGTACCTTCTTTTTGTGGGGATAGCCTGTGCATGATGTGTTGCTGCTGTAACAGAATCACAGGCATGTAGCACTTATTCACTGCCAAGTCTTAAGCTATTAATAGCTACATCCTGTTCATTTGCTAGCATCAGAGTATATACCACCCTGTGAGCAGATAGGGTACACCACACCCTCCTACAATTCAAAGCCTCTATGCTATTCAGCCAAAGAATTAATTCTTATTTTGCGTTGGAAGAGATATGGATGATGTCCTGTGACTCCTGTCACAATGATCTAGATTGAAGAACAAAGTATAAAGCCTAGGTCACTATGTCACCAACTGCTAAACTCATAGCTATAGCATGTAAATATGCTAATAATATTCATGCTACCTAAGTTGTTGTCAATGCAGCAATAGGCAAAAGCTGTCTATGCTGTCCAGCTTTAGTTCTGACTTCTGAGCCTCCAAAATAAAGGCTGGAGCCTTTTAATACCTGGATGTCTTCTGATGCTCTAGCTCAAACCCTTTGACAATGAATATTATTATAAAATTAGGACCCAAAATCCCATATCATTTGTTTGTTGTTTCAAATTTTTAATAGCATTAACCAGTTAATGGCAAATTTTGTCTTGTTTTTTTCATCAGTTATAATAGTTATAACATGGATAAAGGATTGGATTGCTATGAAGCAGATTTCATTGATGACAGTGATAATGTGAGAAAGAAACCGAAGCCAAAAATAGCGACACCATCTTTATCACTGAGAAAGAAGAAGATAAGAAAAGGGATAACATGTATTAATGAATCAGAAGAAGAGAGTGAAGGAGATGCACATGTATCCACTCCAACTAGAAGAAAATCAGCTAGGAAAAGAATGTTTGATTCTTCTTCTTCTGAAGAGGAAGTACAGGAAGAAAAGGGGACACCTAAGAAAAAGAAAAGAAGAATATTAAAGATGGATAGTGATGATGATGATGATAGATCTCCACCAGTTAGGTAAATCAGGGGCGTAGGCAGGATTTTTGGAAAGAGGGGGCAAGCTATGCGGCACGCAAAGCGCCACGAAATTTTCCAAAACCACTCCCTTTTAGGGCGTGATCACACCTATTTTTCAATATGGCGGACTTAAAGAAAGATCATAGGCAACGTGAAATACCTTTTCAGCTTTATAATGGCATCATAGAAGGACTGATTTAGCCTTTTCCTTTCATATGTAAGTTATAGAACAGCTTTTTCTTCCAAAAGTAGCTTATCATTTTGTTAATTTTAAATTTTGATTTTAAAAAAGGGGGGCATTTGCTCCCCTTGCCCCCCTGGCTACGCCCCTGTAAATATCATACATGTAATATAATGCTATTAAGTATTTTAGTTTATTAAATATTTTTGTACCTGGCATACATTTAGTTCTATATGTATCTATAGTTTATATGCATTAGAACTTAGAAGTAGTGTAACGTTTGGCCATTTGGTGACTTGCATCATAGTTACGTGTAACTAAGACTAATGAAAATCATTTAGACTTTTTATAGTATGGTTTTATTAATTACAGCTATATGGTATGTACTGTATCTAATTTTAAAGAAAATTTCTTTACCTAAATACAGCCTAAATAATGTGATTTTCTTCTATATTATATTTTAGTAATTTTAAGCCAATGTCAACCACTAGAACCATCACTTAACTATCTGATATTACATGTATTTTGTGTATTTACATATAGCTTCTATTTGTAACTTTTGCAGGGCAAAATCAAGCCGGGCACAGATATTAAAGGAGCAGAAGGAGACTAAGAAACAAGAACTGATGAGAGAATTAAAAGAGAGCAGGAATAAAGCCTGTAAGATACAGTTCTTGTACATTTACATTTTAAAATTAAAGCAATTTTTTAATTAATAATTTTATTGTCTTCTACTCATTTTTATACTATTAATTGGTTTATTTAATAGATTCAGATGCTAACTTGGACACTAAGCAGGAACCAGAATATACATGTAGCAATGGAATCTCTTATAATTATGATGAAATATTTAACGATGAATCATCAGACGAAGAGAAAGATGAATATTATGATAGTGATTGGATTGTACCTGATGATGACTGCTCATTGGATGACCTGGGAGAGGTACATGTACATATACAATATTATATGCACATCATTCTCTCCTTTTAATTGTTACTCTTCCTCTCACTGGCCCTGTATAATTAATTTATGTGTAATTTTTAAATGTGGCAAATTCATTGAAGTTAAATCCATAGGAAATATTTTTGGGCTAATTCACAAAATGTACAGCCATTAAGAATCTTTCACTGTACAGCACATTCATTATTGCTATGGTATTTTATATTGTATAGGCTACTTCACTGGGTTCATTGTATAGTTTCTTGTCAAATACAATGACTTTTCAGTCAATAGTAGAGGAATCAAGCAATTGGACTGAGGTACAATGATATTCACTCAGTAATGTACCGTATAGCGCTTTAATTTGGCGGAGTTTTATTTTGGCGATTGGCGGTTTGCAAGCAGAATCACCAATATTTAAACCGCCAATCATTAATGCGCATGCTCAGTAATGCACGTGTACACAAAAAAAATTGCCAAATTAAAAACCGCCAATTACAATTTTACAGCAAAATCGCCAAAATAAAGTGCTATACGGTATGTGTACATGTACATGTATATTATGCCATATACACATGTACATGTACCTATACCTGTATTAGGATGAGCCTGCCTATCAGCTAATACTATCTGCTGGAGGGAATAAAGGGGAGACTGCTTTACATGATATTTTATCAGACCCTGCTCTACAAGAAGCTGAGTCTGTTCTCAGTGATTTCAATACCACTCTATTACATGTTGTTCTGGTCTTACCATGGTTATCTGATTCTTCATCCAATCAGTCTAGTGACAGCTTCTCTCAAAAAGTAAGTGTTGTACTCTTGCCAATGTATAATGTGTATGTACATGTATATGGACTGTTGCCAGATTGTGTCTTGGTGATACACAGTTGTTGTTGTTACTGTAGGGTGCCTTTTTTTTGAGTACTGTAAATTTTGTGAATTTGCCTAAAAATCTATTTTGCGAATTTAATTTTTGCAAATTTATGCCGTCTCTCATCTTGTACCGTAATAATTTTGATTTTCACGGAAATAATTTTTGTGAATCTTTAAAAAATCGTCGAATCTGCAAAATTTACAGCCCTAAATAAAAGGTGCCCTGCGGTATTAAGAAATAATCTAAACTAATAATAATGATACATGAATTATAAATCATGATTATTATTATGTGTCATTGTAGTTCAATGAAGATGCAATGGCTCACTCGTATCTGTTGTCATTGTATAGGTTTAATAGGTGAGCTAATGAATAGTGTATTACTTTAATTGATTTTATTGATAGCAAATGGTTTAATGATACACTTAGCAACAGAATGAATATGAGGCCCAGTATTATTGAGACAGCTGTTTGGTACAGAAGAGAAAAGGTTAGTTTTATGTACTGTACCTGTACTGTTATCTTTCTGATTATAGGCATCTCATGTGTCTTTACTCTCACTTTACATGTACATGTACATGCATGCTTATGCTTAATGTTCTCTTTTCTTTCTTTGTAAACTATTATTAGTGTACTCGGTATCTGATAGAGTTATATGAAAAGCTTAATCTCAATTGGAGGCAGTCTAAAGATGAAGAAAAAGGATTCAATGGCTTGTGGCCTCGTAATCTTTGCCAGTTATGTCTGTTGTCTCATTTATTGGACACTAGTAGCAATGCTAATACTACAGTCCAGTTTGACTCTCTCCTTAGAACACCATCAGCTCTTGATACTACCTGTACTAACAGTGATGAGCCCAGTTCTGCTGCTGGTATCATTAATATTATATTCCCTTATATGGAAGGGCAGGACATGTCTGACAAAGATGAACTTGGTGAGTATAAGACATACATATACATGTACATAAACGTATGTACATGTACATGTACATACATCTACATAAACGTATGTATATAAACATGTATGTACTTTTAGTAATACAGGCTTAACAATAACTTTCAAACTAATCTTTACAAAGGACTATTATTATCTATAATTAGGTTATACTGCAGTAATGTATGCTGTACAGCTTGGTGACTGGGAGACTTTATCAATATTTCTCAAATCTCATTTTGTCTCATTTGGCATTAAGGTAACGTGTCACATGTAGTTATCTAACAAAAAATGCTTATTATGTTCTTATATTTTATAAAGATACATGTCATATGTGTTGTATATTTATGTATGGTTGACATTGGTTATGTTATGACAATTTTTTGGTTTATCGTTTAGGATAATGAAGGTAGAAGCCTTCTTCACTTTGCAGCAGCTTCAGGTAGTTTACTGTGTATCCAGCAGTTACTGGATTATGGGCATCCGGTTGATTCTAAAGATATGAATGGTTGGCCACCTTTATTGTATGCTCATTTCTCTGGACATGAGGAGGCATTTCTCATGCTAATGGAAGCTAAGCCTCACCAGGTCTGTGAAGAATAGTAGAGAATATGAAAGAGATAGAGAGGGCATAAGTAATTGAGAATAAATTATGGGATAATAGCAGGGTTTCCCTCATCATGTAGGTTCTTATCAGTGAATTTTAAAGTTGCTGCAAAATTTGACAAAATATGTACCATGTACATGTACACAATACTATGCAGGGTATTTTTTCAAAAATTACTAGAAGAGAATTTTTATATTTTTCTAATAAATATACATGTTCATATGCTATATCAAAATTTTTGGGCTAATTCTGATAAAAATTGAATTAAAAAAAAAATTCGACCAAAGCCTCTGTATTAGGGTCTTTGACCAAGTTTTGCCAAAAATAATTAGGTGAGAATTCTTCATTTTTATAATTTTTTCTGATACATATACTCATTCTTATGTAGTGTAGCAAGTTTGAACTGATTCTGATCAAAATTGGATTTTTGTGAATTTTTAAAGTTGCTCCAGAAACCATGCACAATGTACATGTATATATACATGTCTATTGTAGTGCTTGTCAACTTTTTTAGCTCAGTTAGCATGCTTTGTAAGAAACCCTTGGTAACAGTAATGATAGTGTAATGATAACGTAATGTCAAGCTAATTAAGGTCACACTGATTAGATTCATTGTTTCTCCTTTCCCGCCCACACTCATCTGCATCAGCAATCAACTTTAATTATTCATACACTATACACATTAATTTACATGTATATTGTAATAATTGAAAACTTAATGAAGCGACCTACATGTACCTGAATCCAGTCAGAGTGGCCTAATTGATGTACACATTGCAATAGCAGTACTTTGTAATGCTCATGATTGAGTTCTGATTAAAATTACACGTTATTTTTTTGTAGCTATCAGTCCTTAGCGAGTTACTTCACCGTCAGGATGACAACTCTAGAAGAAAAACGGCAAAGGTACGCTTTACATGTACATGTACTGTACACATACATGTACATGCTAACTGCAGAAATGTATGATGTGAATTCATAATACTTTATAGCAGGAGATATTGGCAAGGAATTAAATTTGGTGAGTTAGCCAGTTACATGTATTAGCTTCATGTGATAAAATAAAACCCAATTTAATCATTTTCTCAAATTTTCTCATTGCCAATAGATCCCACTAAATGATACTTGTTAAACTTCCAATTTATAGTACCTGTCTGTGATGTTGTGTGATATAATTTAGTTCATGTACATGTACATGTACTGTACTGAGTATTACATGTATATGCATCAAAAAATATAAAATGGAGACGAGGGTTTTGAAAAAATTTGGTCAGATTATTTTAGCAATAAAATTTTCTTTAAAATAAATTTTTAAACCATTTTTGAATGATTGCCAATACAGTGTTTTAGTACATACAGCATTCACTTTTGTAATTATGATATTCCTATGAATAATGAAATTGTAAATGTTACATTCAATTAATTTGACAAACAAAAGTAATACTTATTATACTTTTACTTATTATAGGTAGTTCGTGAGCTTCTAATATCATTAGCTCATTCAGAGTCATACTATACATTATTTAATAAATTTGTGTGCAGCAATTTGAATGTACTTGATGACGAGTCGTTTGGATTCATGAAGCACTGCATGTCATTGTTGAGCTTTGAGAATAAAAAGGAATGGCTCAAACAAAAACTTAGGAAACTTAGGTAAAATTTGTTGTTTTAATTTCTATCCATGTTAAAATTTTGCTATTGGTAAACAATATGGTTTGACTGTTGCTCACTGCAACCATCATTTGCCCTAAATATTAGATTCGAGGATGTACTTTAGTCTCTTAGTATTATATCAATTTTATAAATTGTACCTACATGTATGCCATACTTGTACTGTACATCCATGTACATGTATTGTATGTGATTACAATGTAGCTGATACATGTACATGCTTTGTTAAGGTGTAATTTGAATCAGCATTACTGTACATTTTTGGGATACTCCTCTCAGTATGAGAATTTATACACATAAAAGATTTATACCCTTACTTATCAGTTATCACACATTATAATTTTTCTTTAATAGAGAGGAAGAGCATGAAGATGAAGGCATGTACTGCTCTAGACTAAAGCTGCACAACTTACAAAGATCAAATATTGTCAGTGATGTACTGTCACGCTTGGAATTTGTGACAGTCAATGACTACAGATATGGCCCACCTGATGTCACTTTTAAAAATGAACCAGGTACATATACATACATTGTATGGAGATCCACCTGTTGTTTCCACTGAGAAACTGTACTAACAGAGCCTTTGTATAAATGTTACTAGGTATATGTACTGGCCCAAGGAAAGAATTCTGGACATGCTTATCACATGAATTAGCTAAAGGGGAAGGGAATATCTTCACCTGTTCTGGTGATTCACAATTAAGGTAAATACAAGTACTCGTACATGTACATGTATGTAGGTGGTGCATTTAAGGCTAAAGTAATATAATGTAGAGAGTTAGATATTTTTACAACTCTTGCATTACATACCTTCAAAGGTATTTTAATTCATAATGTATTGGTGGAGTATGAATCGGCCTTTACACTTAAACTGCATGTATAATTGATAAATTAATTGTATTGTTTTTCATTTTGTGCTTGTTGGAAACTAAAACTAATGCTTACATTGTATTAGTAAAATGCTTACATGTAAATATCTTAAATCTGGTTTATTTCGAGTGATGGTAATTTTTGTATAGTAATGAGGCATGCTAAATTTAGAATTAGTAATATTTTATTTCCTTTTTGTTTATTACTATACATTGGGATAAACAGGCAACATGCAAATTTTCCCAACACCATTCTGTATTTTATAACCCTTGAACATTACCCGATTTATGGTAGTACATGTACAATATTGTACATGTACATGTATATACACATACATGTACATGTATGCATGATTTGTTGTGCATATTATTTCAATGTGTGATAACTGATTTCTGTTAGTGCAATGTACATTTATGTGTACATTATGATTTTACGTATGATAGTGATGTCTCATTTTTAGTCTTCAACCCTACCAGACTATAGCAGATCATTTACCCAATACACTGACACTGTCAAGCAGTAAACGTTTATTATCATCAATGAGGTCGCCTCCAGTATCAGTCCCTGATCATTTGTATCATGTCAATATCATTGGATCATTACTGGCTACTGCTGTAATGTATGATGATACACTGGACTGTAATCTATCAGTCCCACTCATTAAACAGGTAATGTAGTTGAAAGATGTGTTGTTTTAAAGTACATGTATCAGTTTAGTGAAACTGTAGATTATTTTTTTCTAACTCATCTATTGTACATGTATGTGTATTTTGTACAATATTATATAGCTTATTTATTATAATTCATGAGATTGATATTTTATTTATAGTTGCTTGGTCAGTCAGTCTCTAGTGATGATCTTGAATCAGTTGATGCTGACCTTTACCATCAGCTTACAAACTTAAAGAATGAATCTGTTGAAGGTTAGTGGCTTAGTGCCTTCCTCTAGTTACATGTATATGTACATGTACACAGTTATGGCTTGATGATTTAGATGTATTTAGTGCAATGAGGCCTTGGAGAGATAGGCTTTATTAACAAGAGAAGTTAATGTAACTAAGAGTAGATATCATTTACTCTTACTGTAGCCGTGCATGTACTGAAAGCTAAATTCATGTGAACTTATATTAGAGAGAGAGAGAGATGATTATGAACGACCTGGGGGCGTAGCCCCCAGGTCGTTCCTATAATTGATTTCACCCACGTGCGATGTTTGTATATATATATATATATATTTGTATGTCCACACTTACACCCTGTTGACACTACCCTTCAGAACTGTACCGGAACTGAGTTTTGGAGAAGTATAGTGTAGTTTTATAGCAAGTGTGAACATAACTGAACTGCACTGTAGCCAAACCAAACCAGGCTAAAGTGGTGCACCAAAATAGGTGCTCTGAAATGGTGTAGTTAAGTTTTAAAGTGAATTTGGTGTAGTTAAGTTATGCAGTGTAAACTGCTACCAACATGGCTCTTTTATAACCAAACTAATCTAATTAGGTACAGTTCTATACAGCTAGGGAGGTAGTGTGAACACAGTATTACATTTCTTCTATACATGTTGTATTGGAGAAATAACAAAATTCATAAGCCTTAGCAACCACCTGCCCACGCTCCTTTACGTAGTGGGTGTGGTCACGGCAAAGAAAATGGCGGCTTAAACATGAGACTAGGACAAAGTGAAGAGCTTTCTAACAGCAAGACAACATAGAGATACTGTCTAAAGACTTCTCTAGAAGCATTAAAAGGTAGAGAGAGCCTCTATAAGTCTTATTAAAATCCAGTTATTTTTGCAAGGTGGTGAAATCAATTATAGGAATATTTTTTACACTGTTACGCTTGTTATTAAGACTTTCCATGTGTAGAGCTAGAATTAACTTTCTGCACATCATTGGTTTGTCCTTGGAATGGAAACCTTGTTGATATAGATTTAAGCAGAGGAGCTTGTCAAGATGAACCAGTGACTGATGATAACAAAGTAATGCATGTACATGTAATACTGTGGAAGTGTATTATAGTGTGTGTCATTGTTAGTTGGAGTATATCGAGTGTCTCAGTCAGTTTCGATTGATAAACTCAAATGAACCTGAAACAAAAGAACTACTGGAAGGATTCTGGAAGGTATGCTTATTTGAAAAAAGTCAAGTACATGTAGTTTTTAAAATCAGTCAATGATATTAATGTAGCTAACCTGACATTCATTGTTCTTCCTAATTTTATAAACACAAGAAATGGCCTGCTACACATGTATCATGATCTTTGGTCATGTTTTGTGATTGTAATTGGCTCTAACATTTTGTTGATTATTGATTGTCGTTTAGATCATCCCAAGAAGATACATTAGTGCATTTACTCCTAATGAATTCTCACTGTTACTCTCTGGCACACCTCATATTGATGTAAAGGACTGGAGGAAGAACACCATTGTAAGGAAGAAACATTGACTAAATGTATGTAAATTATATTCTGATTCTTAGGTAAGGTGCTGTCAAACTTCATCTCAACCAATCACAAAATGGTTTTGGGATCTTGTCAATGATCTTAGTGAAAATGAGAGAGGACTCTTACTCAAGTTCTGCACTGGTTCTCCCAGATTACCACCTGGAGGATTTGCTAGCTTAAAGGTATGTGTACCCAGGCTTCGCACAGATTGCTAGGAATTGCTAGGAGAGAAATTATTTTAATTTCTTCTGATACATAATTATGCATGTTATGTTCCCATTCCAATTAAAATTGGATTTTTTTACAAATTTTTAAAGTTGCTCAAAAATTGAGCCAAAGACCCTGTACCATAGCACAGGAACTTTGGTCAAATTTTGTCAAAATCACTGGAAGAGAATTTTTGATTTTATAATTTTTTTTGATGCACATACATGTTCTCATGTTGCACAGTTTTTTAGCTCTTTCCGATCAAAATTGAATTATTTCACAATTTTTTAAAGTTCGAAAAGCTATATGTACATGTATTATAAGGCTTTTCAACTCATGATGCATGCTATTAACTCACTTATCATACTTTGTGGGAAACTCTGTGCAAGTTCCTATGTTTTGCAAGCTGATTTTAATTAAAAATGGATTTTTAAAAGTTTTTAAAATTGTTACACTTAAGCACAAAAATTAATTTATTACATACATGTGTGTACACATAATTAAGCCACAGACAATTTTGTGTAATCAGTGTTGCAATTATAAATTTTGTGCAAGAGTATTGCAGATTGGGATTTCGGGCACATGTGTTGTTAGTCTCTGCATATACCATATAGCCTGAAATTTTGGAGGGAGTAAAATTTGGCGAATTGCTAAATTTTGGTTATTGGCGGATTTTAATTTGGCGATTTAGTGGCCACGTGCCATTGAGCATGCGTATAAAGGCTCAAAATGGCGGTTTTTATTTTGGCGAATGAAACTCTATTCGCCAAATTTGCCAAATTTTTGTCCCTCCAAATTTTTGTGCTATACGGTACACATTCCTCAGGCTCACACTATTATATAAATCATTATTTTTTTACTATAGGGATTGAGTGGCTCGAATGGGTTTACTCTCACCATTGGATCAGGTGTCAACAAGGTACCGTATAGCGCTTTAGTTTTGAGAAGCAAAACTTTCGCTGTTTTTGTGGGTTGGCATGCAACTGCAAAATTAAAGATCCGCTAATTATTCAATTGCCATTAAAGGCGTGGCATTAATGTTGTGAATCCACAAAAAATTTTTTCGCGACAAATTGATTTTTATCAATCTGCAAAATTTTAGCTCCGCAAAACTAAAGCGCTATATGGTATATGTGCTTTTATGTTCATTATGAGCCAAGCACTATAATTCACAACAAAATAATATTTTCATAAATTTCTCTTTCTTGATTAGATTCCTCATGCTCAGACGTGCTTTAACGTACTAGTACTTTCAGACTACACTAGTGAACAAGAGCTGCGGAATAAAGTATTGATTGCTATAAGATATGGCTGTGAAGGATTTGCATTCTCTTAATTCAAAAATAAATCACTTACTATCTATATCCATTTTTATAAATATCTATTATGATTGATAATAAAAAGTAATTATAAAATTTTTATTTTTGGCATTTCATTAAATGTTTTACCGTTGCATCGAAATATCTGCTCATAATAAGAGATTGTGTAGTTTCTACATCTTTCTTTGCTGGTACATGATAATGGTACAGTAGGCCATATTTGAGTGGTACATGATACCATTTACTATTTTAATTGGTGTGGTATCTAGCACTAATGGACTAAGAGCTTTTGTTTTATGAATTGTCTTGTAATATTTATAATGCTTGTACTGTTCTACTGGATCAGAAGCCCTCTGAGTAAAAGCAAGAGTACATAATTTTGTACTCTTGGTAAAAGTAAAGTATCATGCAAGGCCATGATTTATTCATGCACTTTGTTGCTTGCTAGGCATAAATAACTTGGTATGGATCAAAACAGACTGTATTATTATGATTGATGAGGTTTTGATAATTATTTAGAAAAATAGAAGCACCAAAAATAATCAAAAAAATAGTCCTAACAAAAAAGTCCTATATTGCTTCTTTATCTGCTGCTTATTTATATTGAGCCAGTTCATTGGTTGTTGCATTCATAACCACTGGGCAATTTATCAGAGATATCTTCCAATGGACATTCTCCTTCATCATTCACACCAAATCCAGAGCATCCAATTCCATCGGTCCAGGGTTGGTAAGGGAGGCTCCCAACACCTCTATCATACCGTGGCTTGTAACAGCTATGTGGTGGCCACCACCGGTAGCAGTATAGGCCCATGTCAGTGTAATCTTTTCCACAGAAACGGCTACAATATCCCCAGCAAACGGTGGCAACTCCAATGTAGTACTCTTTGCATTTAGGATAGCAGAGACCGGCATCATATTCCTGGCTTGAAGTGCATCCATTCCTTGCGCATGTGTTTGATGCTGTGCGTAATGGGAAATCTTTATTAGCAAGAAGTGAACATTTCTTATAGCACCTTCCCCTAAA